ATTATTGCTAGCCAATCTTTGATTATATTTTTACAAGGTATTATTTTATACTTTTATTTGAATTAAAAGTGATTCCAGGTAAATATTGCAGTTCATAGATTTGGGATTATATAATAATGGTTAAAGGTGTTATATATGATTATATATTTTTTATGATTTATAATCAATAAGGGAGTACCACCTCTGGCTGGAAGAAGGGGGGACCCTTTTATAATTATATTTTCTTTATAATTTCTTTATATTTCTTTATAATTTATAATTATATTTTCTATTTTTTTGCGCCTCTCTGCCCACCTGCTGCCAATCCCTCCCTCCACACATTAAGAAGCTGACAACGCTGAAAGCCGTAATCTCCTCCAGTCTTTTCAAGTTGGGTGATATTCTTCCCTTGATCTGATTGCCTCTTGAAATTTCTGTCCAGTAACGTCGCTCTCATTCTCACCGCCTTTTGTTAACGTGTCTGTCTGTCTGTCCCCTCCACCGCTCCTCTCTCTCTACTTCAGCCCTACTCTCCCTCACTTCAAAATCCGATTTCTAAAAGGTACCTTTTTTATTTAGATTGCTGACTGGACCAGTTTCTTTTTACGTACCTTAATTGACAGTTGAGTACTGAATCGTTTTTTCTTTCGAGTCTTCTCAGTCTCTGATTGGTCATGGGGTCCCAAGATCTACTACGGGCTCACCATAACCCGTGCTACTTGGAACTTTTTGTTCCAAGTAGCGAATCTTAAAGAACAACATGTGGGTTCCCCTCTCCCCCCCCTATATCTCACCATCCAGTCGAACCCATTACCTACTCTCTCCATCCTATTTCATCCCTCCTCGCTCCACCCATTATTGAATTTAGCATTTAATAGTTTAGTTTATTATTTTCTACCTATCCCCACTCCATTTTCTATCCTAGACTGGTTGTGCGTTTTCTGTGCGGTTGATTCGCCATTTTCTATGGATGTGGTTCTCCGGTTTCTGTAAAACCGGCCGTTTTCTGAAGCCCAAGTTCTTTCTTTTATGTTTCATGGCTTGCCACTTTTTTATTACCATATTCTTCGTTTTCTATTCCCTTGCCAGCCCATTTTTTGTTCTCTGTTTTCTGTTCCCTTGGCTGCCCATTTTCTGTTTCGCAAGTCCTTGTTTTTTTGGTTGCCTTATCGGCCCATTTTCTATACCCCTATGTTCTTCGTTTTCTCTCTCCTTGCCTGCACATTTTCTGATGTACGTTCACTTCCGTTCTCCATGTTATTTACAGTTCTTTTGCCTTGCTCATTTTCTATTTCCCATGTCCTTCGTTTTCTGTGTCCATACCTACCCAGGGTCCTGCTAGCGGCTCGCCTCGTTACTGCCTCTCCCATTGTTGGCCAAGATTTATTGGGTCTCTCTCATTTCCCAGTGATTGATTACCTACTGAAGGATTTTTTCCGGGTGTATCCCCTCTTAAATTGTACCCTGAGTGTCATATCTTGACGAAATGACAGTTGTTCCGATATCTATATATTTACAACACTTAATAAATAATGTTAATAGCATTGTTCCAACTTTGTTCCAACATTTGTTATTTGTAGCTTCATGGTATTTTAAGTTTGCACGGGGGATGAAAGTGCGCTGTGATGAGGGGGGGGGAGAAGGGGGCGAATGGGGAGCTGGGAGAGAGAGAGAGAAAGAGAGAGAGAGAGGAGTTGAATGGAGGGGGTAGGGATGGAAACGGAATGGGGAAAAGGGGGGTATAAAAAAAATAGAGATTGGAAACTCTTTTAAGGGAAACATTAAATACGAAACATTTTACGAAATCTGGAGGAAAAAAATCCCGCGCGTATAAACAGTGACTTCATGGACGTTACCAAAAGAAAAAAACGATGCCCCGCGAAGCTATCAGGTGTAAACAACAGCGTTCAGATCTATAAAATTTTATCTTTTCTTGATAGTTAGAGTTTTCAAATGGTTCCAATATTATTTTGTGTTTGTATTATACTTTGTTTATATATATATATATATATATATATATATATATATATATATATATATATATATATATATATATATATATATATATATAATGAAATATAGATTTTAATGAATATTAGAAATATATTCAACACTTCCCCGTTTTCTTTCTCTCGTTGTATTTTTCTTATTTTTCTCGCTCACTGTAGTTGCTTCACTCACTGTTGTTGCTTCACTTACTATAGTTGCTTCACTTACTGTAGTTGCTTCAGTCACTGTAGTTGCTTCAGTCACTGTAGTTGCTTCACTCACTGTAGTTGCTTCAGTCACTGTAGTTGCTTCACTCACTGTAGTTGCTTCACTCACTGTAGTTGCTTCAGTCACTGTAGTTGCTTCAGTCACTGTAGTTGCTTCAGTCACTGTAGTTGCTTCACTCACTGTAGTTGCTTCACTCACTGTAGTTGCTTCACTTACTGTAGTTGCTTCAGTCACTGTAGTTGCTTCAGTCACTGTAGTTGCTTCACTCACTGTAGTTGCTTCAGTCACTGTAGTTGCTTCAGTCACTGTAGTTGCTTCACTCACTGTAGTTGCTTCACTCACTGTAGTTGCTTCACTCACTGTAGTTGCTTCAGTCACTGTAGTTGCTTCAGTCACTGTAGTTGCTTCACTCACTGTAGTTGCTTCACTCACTGTAGTTGCTTCAGTCACTGTAGTTGCTTCAGTCACTGTAGTTGCTTCAGTCACTGTAGTTGCTTCACTCACTGTAGTTGCTTCACTCACTGTAGTTGCTTCAGTCACTGTAGTTGCTTCAGTCACTGTAGTTGCTTCACTCACTGTAGTTGCTTCACTCACTGTAGTTGCTTCAGTCACTGTAGTTGCTTCAGTCACTGTAGTTGCTTCACTCACTGTAGTTGCTTCACTCACTGTAGTTGCTTCACTCACTGTAGTTGCTTCAGTCACTGTAGTTGCTTCAGTCACTGTAGTTGCTTCACTCACTGTAGTTGCTTCACTCACTGTAGTTGCTTCACTCACTGTAGTTGCTTCACTCACTGTCAATTACTCTCACTATCACAGTGGGTTTAAACTACGATAGAGTTCCTTAGTTTGAGAATTGGTAATGTAATTGTTGGATAATGAGTTCAGTGTTTTTTTACATTACTTTTACATTACTTTTACATTTTTTACATTACAATTACATTTGTAATTGATGATCTGATTTATAATTACAGATGTGATAGTGTGTCTCTCCCCCCACCCCCTCTTCCTCTCTTTCTCTCTCCTCACTCTCTTTTACTCCTCTCCGTTTAGGCTCTCTTTCATCGCCTCTTTCTCTCTTCCTTCCTCCCTATTCTCTTTCATTCCAAATCTGCGTCTTAACCTCTCTCCCTCTCTCCATCTCTCCCTCCCTTCCCTCCCTCCCTCTCTCTTTCCCTCCCTCCCTCTCCCCACCTTTTGCAGGGTTCGCCACCCCTGACCTCCTCCGCCATTTATCAAGGCTCCTACTTTTCGCAAGTTCGATCCCGAGTTGAGTTAATTAGTGAGTGCTGACTGGTTGTACTGGCGATTAGTCGATCATTTGGTGATTAGAAGCTGGGAGGAGGAGGAGGGAAGATGGAGGAGGAGGAGGAGGGAAGATGGAGGAGGAGGAGGAGGGAAGATGGAGGAGGAGGAGGAGGGAAGATGGAGGAGGAGGAGGAGGGAAGATGGAGGAGGAGGAGGAGGGAAGATGGAGGAGGAGGAGGAGGGAAGATGGAGGAGGAGGAGGAGGGAAGATGGAGGAGGAGGGAAGATGGAGGAGGAGGAGGAGGAAGAAGACACAGACAGGAAGGTAGACATACAGACACAACCCTCGACTGAGACAAAGGTAACTCCCCTCATCAGTCCTTCACAGACTTAAAGTCGTGAAGATCCGTATAGAGGGAAACATGTCGGCCTATAGTCTTGCCTAACAAGCCAAATGATGCGTTGAAGTGGCCAGTTGTCTTCAAAGACCTTTAACTACGTGATAACTTTACCTTCTATGGGAACAATATTAGACATAACCTAGGAATGTTATTTAAAGGTATTAACTAAATATTTAAACTAATGACGAATACAATTATGTATTTACGGTAATTAAAGGATAATGCAATGTAATACTTTCAACACCATTTTTCTTTCTCATCTTTTTTTAGTATCTAATAAAAATATTATTTTTCTTTCTTTATTTTCTTTCTTCATGTAATCATTCTTCTGCTTATCATCTCAGCCATTCTGCACTTGTTCCTGCTTGATGGGGGTTCTGGGAGTTCTTCTACTCTCCTTGTGAGACTTTGGTCCACCAGGCTGTTGCTTGCAGCGGCCCGCACGTTCATTCGTACATTCATCCATCTACTCACATATTCATCATTCCACCTACCACTCCATCTTACCCATCCACCAAACATGCCATCACACATTCATACTTCTGCTCCTCCATCACAAGAAGACGACAATCCCTGCTTCAGGCCATGAATATGTGACGCATGTAAATATGAAGACTGTAAATATGTAAGACATGTAAAATATGTAAATAGCCTCATTGTGATGTGGGAATAAATGTCCATCTGGACTACGGCTGCTGCATAGCCTTCCGTCCTAAGTGTTGGGTAAGGGACAGGAGACACATGCGTCAGTGTACATATATGTGGGTGTGTATATGTGGAATGAACACACACACACACACACACACACACACACACACACACACACACACACACACACACACACACACACACACACACACACACACACACACATACATCATGATGCAGCCTTTAGCAGCTAACTCCCACGTACCTAGTTACGTTGACTTAGCTTCTATAAAAGGAGTTACTGCTAGGTGAACAGGGATATCAGGTGAAAAAATCTGCCTCGTTGTGTGTTACAGCAGTAACAGCACCAACAACAGTAACGGTAGAAAGCGTAAACTGGATCAGTAACGAAGCAAAAACCATTACTAGCAACAACAACAACAACAGCAGCAACAGCAGCAGCAACAGCAGCAAATAAAAATAATTGTAACAGCAATATAATATTAACAG